TCTTTCTTTCTTTCTCTCTTTCTATATTAATTTCTTTCTTTCTCTCTTTCTTTCTTAATTTCTTTCTTTCTCTCTTTTTCTTTCTTTCTTTCTCTCTTTCTTTCTTTCTTTCTTTCTTTCTCTCTCTCTTTCTTTCTCTCTTTCTTTCTTTCTCTCTCTTTCTTTCTTTCTTTCTTTCTCTCTCTTTCTTTGTCTCTTCATAGTCCTGACACACTGGCAAAGGGCTGTGAAACCATCTCTGACGTCAGTGCTGACATTCAGAAGCTGATTCCAGACCAGGAGGCTCCGCAGGAGAGCAGTGAGAGTACAGTGGCTGGCTGTGAGCTCTCCTGCCCCACTGACCCAGGGTCAGAGCAACACACGCACTGGAGCAAACCATCCCCAAGCAGCCAGGGAAGGCCACCGGAGTTGGAGTGTACCACACAAGGGTGAGTGTTTCTTCCTTTTATCTTTCCTTTTTTCACAAACAGATTATGTTTTCACCTAAAATGATTTGACAAGGCGACCTACCTGTTTTCATTCATTCATTCATTTTGAGGAGATAAGAAACATTTGCCCCTTTACTTCTTCCTTCATGCTTTTCTCAAAACTACAATCAGTTTTCATTAATATGACATTTTGTTTGGAAACCTGTAATTCCTCTACAGTTTAATCTTTCTTTATCAACAGGACCTTTTCACAGTACAAGATACCACCATTCACCTATTCATTAAAGGAGAAAGAGGAGAAAGAAGTAGACGAAGTAGCAAATAAAAGGACACCTTCCTCATCCACCAAAGACGAATGCTCAGTGGTGTGCATCGTTGGTTTTCTCTTATTGTACTTTATCTGCTTTCTTTCACGTTTTCCTTTCTTCTTTTTGCTCGACCCTATTAAACTGTGTCCGTCAGTGCTCAACATCTCTAGCTGTGAATATCATTCAGCGGTCACTGTTTCTATGATCTTTCTCATTTATTTCCAAAGGTCCAGTGTGTAACATTTAGAAGAATCTATTGGCAGAAATTGAATGTACAGCAATATGCATAACTATGTTTTCATTACGATCGTTATATTCTTGTTACCTTAGAATGAGCCTTTTATATCTACAAACGCCACGGCTAGCCTTCTGTGGAGGCTGCCATGTTAAGATACTATGTTTCTACAGTAGCCCAGAAGGGACGAACCAAAGACTGGCTCTAGAAAGGGCCTTTTGCATTATTGAGCGTGGCTACTGTAGTTTCTCCTTCGCACTTGGAAGTGTTGGATGAAGCGAGGGATCTACAACTACACTGCTACATACCACTAAATTCTACACACTGGTCCTTAAAGGAACTAAGTAAAATCAAACTTTTAATGTTTTGAACCCATTATGGGTTGACTGACATAGACTGAATTGTTTTTCAGGCTTCCACAGATGCAGGGCTGACATCTTCTATTTCAGACTGCTGCGTACCGAATGAATCACAGAACAAAACCCAAACACATACGCAGCACACAGACAGGTGAGAAGAAGATTTCTGCATGAAGACTACAAAAGATGACATTTTGTTTCATTTGTTATTTCTGCTTTTTACTGTTTTTATAGCAGCAACCATTTGTTCATTGGTCTTGAAAGAAAACATCCAAGTGGAATAAAGATCCCTAATTTCACACTTTCTTAAATCAGCTATTTGATGTCAAGTCAAAGAGAAGAACCATTAACCCGTTAGTAATTTTGAAGCAGTTAAAGTGTATCAGCTTTAATTTTATCTGATTCCTGCTGCTACAGTTTTTTGTTCCCCCTCCATTCAATTCCCCTCAGTTCAGCTCATCTCTCAGCCCTGAAGTCAGTTGAGAAGTAGGTTATGGGAGCAATGTGCTGCTCACAGTCATGGTTTTGATATGATTCCAGTCCAAATAACACTGACTTGCTACAGGGGCACACAAGCTAGATTAGGCCATAGTAGCATGGTGGCACACTGACTTTTTTTGTCTGTGTGGCCTCCACTGAGCCACAGGACAGGTCATCTCAGTTATGCCTCATTAGTGTCAGACATGAATAAGCCATAACCTAAATGGCAGTGCCAGATGACCGTCTGGCCTCAAAACTACACACAACGCTGGGCAGTCCTGCCTGTGAGCAGATTCGATACGAATCGATTATGAATACAAAAAGAGCACAATGTGTATTAAAGTCACATGGACTGTGAACCAGAGGGAAAAATCTGTATTTGCTTGGTGTTGACAGAATTTTTTTTTCCAGCATGCTGTGCTGCATGGAGTACAAGACAGAAGACAGAACCACAGTGTCTGAGAGGAAGGTAAACAGGCATTTGTGAAGTGTATGGTTGCCATCTGAAAATCTTTTCCACAGTCTTTCATTAATTTCTAAAGGACCAGTCTGTGATAGCCAAGACTGAGTTGTAGCCTCAGGTTTGTGAGCTAGCAAAATGTCAAATACCACCACTAACAGAGCATTAACGTCAGTTCGTCACCTACTGCACAGTTTGTGTAGGGGGTAGTAGGAGGCTAGTATTCATTGACAACAGGACTGATGTACAACAGGGTTACCAGATTAAATAAACCAGATTAAATAAATAATATAATATTTTTTAGCAGTAGCTAATACACTCAGGATACCTTTTTTAGTTTTAAGGGTGAACAGCTAGATGATGAAAACAATGAAGGTATTTGCTATCCCACCTGGACCAATGATTGATTGATGATTGATTGATGAATGATTTACTTTCAAAATGAATTAAATATGAAAATATATTGATCTTGACAAAACTGGTTTTAACTACTGGGTCTGTTGAAGAAGATAAAAGGAAAGAAATTCATTATCTCTCTTTATGTGTAATTGTAACCTACATTTTGGGTTTGTATGGGTGTGTGTGTGTGTGCCCACACTGGCGCGTGTCAGTAAGTGGGCTTCAGGAATGAGACTTCATCAGTGCCTATGCTGTCTGCTCCTCCAGGGGAGAAGAGGAGGAAGATGTAGTGGTTCTCCTGACAGACACAGTGATTGCAGAGGCAGGGGCAACAGCCATGACGTAAGTTCTCCTTCCCCACAGTTTTTTTAGATACACAAATTAACACTTTCTTTAGGATAAGTGTATCTATGACAACAGGACTGCTGATACCTCCAGTGATTGCGTGTGTCTGTGCATGCGTGTGTTTATGTGCACACCTGTATGTGTACTGCTAGGTGTGAGCTTGCTTGCCTGTGGGTGTTTTGCTTCAGTAATAGCAGCCTCCTTCCCCTCCCTTCCATCCTTCCACCTCCTCTATGTGACGCACAAAGCAGTGGGCTTTTTTTTTTTATGAATGAACAGACGAGGAGGGTGAGAAAGGAGAAGCCGATCCCTTATCTGCTGCTGTTGTTGATGATGATGCTGAGAATGATGTCAGAGCGCCTAAAAGAACAAAATAAAAACCTTAAACCAAACTGCATTATATTCCAACCTTCGCTCGAGCCCCGAGTGTTTTTAGTGCAGCTCAATACCAAATCTTTTTTTAGCACCATGAGAATTCATTGCATAAACACCTACACGCACACACTCATACCGAGGCAAACAGTTACGTGACTCCCAGCAGCTCCATCAAATAGACTCCTTAGCATGGTCTGACAACGTTGCCGTGGAAACGCCTCGTCATATACAGTACCTCTCTCCTCCCTTGCACACACACCCACACCACACGCACCGACATGAGCGGTATTCCCGCCGCCCCCCTTCTTCCACGCACGATGAATAATCCATGTGGAGGCAGTTCAGCAGCAGAAGTGCCAGGAATGCCGGTCAGAGGGAAAACCATGTGGATTTAGGGTTTCTCTTTTGTGGGCAAGCTATGCTCTTGTACACCAACACGCCCACAAACAAGCAGATCAGGTGATCTGGGAATCACAGCGATACTGCTAATGGAATTACAGCGTGTTGCTCATCAGGGATCCCACGCTGGATGCTGATGCATGTCAGGAATCTGACTCACTGATTGACAGTCAGCGGGATTCTTGTCTAGCTGGTTGAATGCCTGTTTTGCTGACTAGTTTCTAGTCACACAGAGACCTGAGGGGAGCTACAGCTGAGGAAAACGTACCACCTCACGTGGGCTGCTTGTAATGACCACTGTAGCTCACTGGGAGCCTTGGAGGATCAAAGATTTTCTATTGTTTTTTGAGAAGTTCCTCGTACTTTAGCCACCCCCGAAAGCAGCCTTCTCATAGAGCTGTATTCTGCCTTTTGACTCATTCCTTTCTCAGGAGGACGAGGCAACCACTCATCTCACCTCACCCTGCAACTCTCTCCCCAACCACGCTTCAGCGCCAGAATATTTCTTTTCACAGGAGAGACTAAAATGGTTTTACAAGACTTCTCAAGATTCCCGAGCAGCATGTGAAACGCTGAAGACTCCCTCCACGCAAACTACGACGCATCTTTCAGACTTCTCCTTTGCCTGCACGTCTGCATCCCTGAAGCCATGTTCTGCTTCTGTTTCCAGAGCCCTTCCCTCAAGCTTCAAGCCCTGGAGGCTGAATTGGGAACCTTGCCGCCACCGGTAGACCCACAAGGTCCAGACAACCTACCTGCCCAACAACAGCCTGTTTCTACTGAAGAGCAGAGCCTGTATTTGACCCACAAACTGCTCCTCCACCCACCACCATCACCACCAGGTCAGGATCAGCAGACAGTCGACTCATCACAGCCTGGTAAGACAATGACAATGAACTGTGATATACTTAAATTATTTTTTAAGTTTCCAAACTTCCCATGTTAAATATTTATTTGGGGCAAAGAGGAAATCATGTAGGAGTTGTAAAAGCCCATTGCCAATAATTACTACTTTTGTCATACATATATGTAGGTAAATATATTGTCCAAAGTACCTTACAGTACAGTACTTGCAGCTTGGGCAGTCACATTGGGAATGTCAGTCAATAGCCATACTTCATATATACCATATTAGTGCTGTTATTTATAGTATCTAATTCATCATCTGTTTTGATTCGGAGGATCTTCCTAGATGCTGTAATTCTTTTGGTGTATGTTAAATAACAGTCAGTAAATCCTGACAGCGAGCTATGAGCTTCATGATTTCCCACAGCTGGGTGTGTCTTGTCTTAAATACAGCGAACAAAGGTACGATGCTGTTACTGTAGTGTCACTGCACAGCCGACTGTGATGGATGAATTGGTACATATATTCAATATAATGTAATATTTATGCTATCTAGACAATCATTTAGATTTGATCATGTTTTCCCATGTATTTACATGTCTTTTTCTTGCTTAACATTGCAAGAAACCAGTGTTTTTTAACCGTAGAGATTATAACTGCTAAATACTCAAACTATCCATATGTACTGTTTATCACAGACACATCAAATTCAGTTTCTCTCAGGAAAGATGTTACATATGAGTAACTTGAGTAAGAAAGTGCTATTTGTCCTTCTTTCACTCCTTTTTGTCTCCCTATCTTTCTCTCCCTTCCTTACTCCTTGTTTTCTCCCTCTCTCATTTGGTCCCATCTGTCCTCCTCTATTAATTCAGATAAAAATAGCATTTACAAATAAAATAGTCATAAATCTTATAGATTTCTGTTAATATTTTGTCCTTCCTCTCTTTCTTACAGTACACACCCCATCCCCTCATTCATCAGAGTCCAGTCTGGTCCTCTCCACTGCCGTTCTTTCTGAGGGGATTTCAGAAAATGACACCCTGCCGAGTCCACCGGCCCCTCACACCAGCCCACTCCTCTCCCGTTTTACAACAAGCGACTGCCCTGTTCCCTCGCCGCGCTGTCCCAACCTCAGTCACAGCCTGCGCTACAACCTAGACCCTGATGCAGCCCCTTCTCCACCGTGCTCACAGCACATACGTGTGTAAGGCATCTTCACTTTACTTCACTCTTTATTTAGGAATAGTGGCTCATAGATGGAATATTATCAAATGTATTGTTTTTGCCGTACTGCTGGGCCTTAAATGAGGATTTCTACCATGTCAGGTGATGCACGTTATGAGTCCTTAAATCATGGAACTATATGCAGAATGTCAAGAATTGAAGTAGATAGACGTGCGCTTTTCTGTCTCCAGGGCTCGCAGCAGCGTCCATACAGAGCCAGACGAGGGCTCTCTGTCCATCTCGATGCTCAACAGACATATTCACACCCTGAGGAAGAGGATCAGGCGTTTTGAGGAGTGTTTTGAGCAGGAGAAACACTATAAGGTAAGGTAGGAAATCAGAGCTACTTGGTCAGCTGGGTTCTCTTGAGTCATGATTGGACTGCAAGTTATCGCCTCAGAGTGTGACGCTCAGTGTTGCCTTTTTCATAGCCCAGCTCTCACAGAGGCGTGGGAGGGATTTTTGTGTGTGTGCATGCCTGGCTGTGTGCGAATTAGTTATGTTTGAGTTCTAAAATGATGTGTTGGATGCTAAACACAAACATCATGCTAGAGTGAATCACTCCCTCTACTGGTACATTGGAAAAATTACATTTTGTTACACAATGTATCTGTAGTCAACTGCTTTATAGGGCTGCTATAAAACAAAATGGTAATGGTAAAAATGATATCCCACCCAGACCTGGAGCTGAGATGGGCCCCTGATTTGAGTTTTACATTTTTTTTTTACAGCCAGCCCACAACGACAAGACAGCTCATCCAGAGGTGGCCAGACTGATGAAGGAGCTCATCAAGAGTCGCAAGCAGCTTAAAGGTCAGTTCCATAAACATAAACACTCACTCAAACACAAAAATGAATGATTGGAGTGGTGGAAGAAGTATTCAGATCTTTCAGCTCCTTCCTAAATGTAGTTAAAGGCATTTTTTAAAATTATTATTATTATTTTTTAAAGACATCAACAAATAAGTACCCTTTCATGTTGTAGCAGTCTATATAGTCATATCGTCTTTAATGAACGTCTCAGACTCACTCGGACATCTGAATCTGACAAGGGGCCCAACTAGACACTGCTACTGCTTTTTTGTTAGGGGTCACAAGCCAAACATGTTGGGACTCACCGGTTAACTAAATACTCAAGTACTTTCACTTACTTAATTACTTAATTTCCATTGGTAACAATACCAAAATGATTACCAGAGAACCAGTGTCCACATTTTAGTTACATGATACCTGTTTTCCATGTCAACATATTTTTCTTCTTTTAGAGCTGAAACTGAGACAATCAGAGGAAGGTGGGCAAACAGGGCAGGGAGGCTTCAACCTATCAGGTGAAACATGCTGGACCAACACAGACCATAGGGAGGCAGCACTAACAGGGACTGAGCTGCAGCAGCTTAACAACAACAGCAACACCAAGCCAAATGTGGAAGAAACTGTCAACATTATAACCAACAGGCTGAAGGAAAGACGACGAGAGCTAGGCCTGCCTGACAGCATTAAGGTTGGTATTGCAGAAATGCTTTCAACACACACACACACACACACACACACACACACAGAAATATTGTAATATAGGTTTAGTGGTCTGGTTCCGTGGGTTGGGAGGGAGAATCTGTGTCTTACTGACCCTCGATAAACAACCTGTTAACAGTTTTGACTCTCTGTATGTGCAGGAGATGTCCAATTTCCAGATGAATATGGAGAAGACCAGCCTGCAGAAGTGTTTGCTCTACTTTGAAAGTCTACACGGACGACCAGTAAGAACAGCCTGGATGACTCGCTTATGCGTTTATCTCTTTTGTTTTACTTGATGCCTACACTTGAGTTGTATCATTGGTTTTCTTTCCTTCTATTTGTACATATATTCCCACCTAAAACAAAGTGCTTTCTTTTGTGTCTCTTTCTGTCTGTTCCTCTGCAGAGTACCAGGCAGGAGCGAACTCTGATGAAACCTTTCTACGATCGGTACCGCCTTCTCAAGCAGCTGCTGCTCTCCTCTGCTGCTGCAGCAGTCATTACAACCATTGTGAGTAGACATCTAATGCTGAATACTGAATTTTGAATAATATCTTGTAGTGAGGGATGAGGTCTCTACACTCAACTCTACACTCAACAATATAGATAAAAGTGATAATGGCGAAGAAGAGTGTGACTTTAGTACCCTCTAGTGGCCAGATATAAGAGCTACACCAAACTACTGTAAAACATTTCACTTCATTTAGTAAAAAAAATTATTGCAAGACAGATGATGAAAACTTGTTCTATTCTTCTTTTTTCTCAAATGTTTGCTATGACAGATTAGTGAGTCCTCTGTATTTGTGTGTGTGTCTACATAGGAGGAAGAGGAGGGCTCTGATGAAGAGCGTCCCAAACAGCGAAGCCCCAGGCAGCAGCCGCTCTGGCTGAGGTCTCCCAGGTGTGTGTCTTCAGATGAGTCGCTGCATCTGCATCTGCCTTCCCTAGAAATGTCTGAGACTCCTCTGGTGTCCCCGCTGGAGGAGGTAAAGGGTCTCCAGCCACAGATCATCACCATGGCAACACTACATGAAGCTTCCAGGTACGGCTTGTGTTTGTGCAGCTCTAAGGTGTGATTTCTATTTATTTTACCACTCAGAATTAGTTGTTAGGATTTTTTTATAGATAATAATAGATTGTTTTTGTTTTAAACTATTTGTTGACATGGTTACGGTTAATTTTTAGATCTAAGAAATTCTTTGATTCTTTCTTCACAGATCGGAATTACTGGATCACCTTAGGATGGCACGATTAGAGAAGCGCAGGCTTCACCAAGCACTCCGAGAGTTTGAGGACCACTTCTATGCGCAGACCGGCAGGTAAAGGTTACACACACAAACGACACACACCGCACATTCAAACTACTTGGCTTTTGAGTTTTATTTTGTCTTTTAATAAACTTGGAACATTTGGTTTTCAACAATGCCTTGTGAAAAATAAAGAAAAAACATCCACAAAAGAAATTCCCATCGTAATGGTACGACAGTGTAATGCACACTCACTTAACGTTAATACAGCACAGAGAGCTCAGGAAAGAGACGAAGAGAAAGACATTTGCTCTGAACTGTACACATCCTTTGTACTGTACATGTTAGTCGTCCAAAGTAAATACAGTAAGTTTTCGATTACAATACACACTGTACAAAGCTATCTGAGTAAGGCAACATAGGGACTATCAACCAGTTATGGAAGCTGCTGCTAGTTGAAACTACTGAAGTTTTGCCTTTTGTTTGCATCTTTTTTTTCTCCTCCATGTATTCTTAACAGGGCTTGTCAGAAGGAGGACCGTGGACCGATGGCCGAGGAGTACTGCCAGTATAAGAACCTCAAAGCAAAGCTCCGTCTACTGGAGGCCCTGCTCAGTAAACAACAGGACTCAACCAAGACCAGCTGAGTTAACTCACAGTGGGACTTTTATCTTAACAAGATTAGAAAAATCAGGTTGTGAAGCCAGTGGGTCTGGTCTCGTTTCATGCCATGCTCATGTTGATGCACTTTACGTGAAGAAAACTGATGGAAATTGGTGACAATCTAAATTAAATACTGGGCAACTGCAGAGTTTTCTTAGTCACAAAAACACATCCCTTATCATTCATGACACATCTTACTATAAACCTGATGTAGCAAGTGTATGTAGCACTAATTTATGTCAAGGATGAAGAGGTGTAACAACTTGATGTTAGTTACATATTAGTAATTTTAAGATCACGTATGTATATTATGGCACTTTGTTACTTGCTTTTTTTCTGTGCCAAAATACCATTTTGGACAGCTTTGTCCATAGTTAATGTGGAAACTGCATTTTTATTACAAAGTGCTATCTTGGCAAAAGAAATGTAAGCTTAATTGCAATGAGACAATACTGTTGTGTTTGTGCATGTCAGTTTTTTAGTCCTACATTGTGCTATGATATGCATTAAGGATTTCATAGTTGATCTAAATCGTTCAATTCACATTCTCACCATGGAAAATATGTGAACGTTGGTGAACGTTGAAATTGTAGTGCAAGTTATATCTGCTGTCAAATTTGCATTCATCCCCCCCATTTTACCTGTATGAAGTCAATTTCCTGTAAATGCAGTTGTTGACAATGATCAGAGCTTTTGACATTGTGCACTTCTGGTTTATATAATTTTCTATATATATATAGATATATATATATGAATGTATCAATAAAAATAAATATTTTTTCACATTTATTCTGCTAAACACAGTTTATGGTTCTACTTTCTTTCTTTCCACTGACTACAACAAAATAAGAGCGACTGTTGCAGAAAAGGTTGCTATGGTAGAGGTACTGACAGCTTTCATACTCATGCTGCACAGAACTGCATCATGCTTTTTTTTAAAGGTTAACAAGTTAACAAGTAGTTCACACTTGGTCGTCAAAGACTTAGTGAATAGACATTTTAGAGGCTGTTGCATTAGTACTGTTAAGATTTCACAGCCGTTTCATGTCTGGTTTTTAATACCTTTGGTATAAAGAAAGATGACTCTTGATGCTGCAGCCCTAGAAAATTGTAGTACCAGTCTGTGCCACTAGTAGAGGTAAAAAGAAGTCTGATTTTGTCTACTGTGGAATAAGAACAAAACATTTCTAAAACAGTCAAAGTAATTGGAAACAACAAAATGCTTGTCCACACAGACAGTGGACACTCAGTTAACAGCATATCAATAATAACAAGGCAAAGATCATTAACAAAATATGGGACAACTTGTTCAAATAAACAACAGGAAATTGTAGAAGCAGCTCATGTTTGTTAGTACAGTTAAAGGGTGTGTTGTTGGTGTCCCAGGTTTAGATTGCTCAGTTTCATGTAAGGTTTCAACATTTAGGGTAACCCTTTTAAGATGAGGAGACAACGGTGCAGGTGTCAGAGTGTGTACCTTCCTCTTTTTTTCTCCACTCTTCTTTGGGAATGATGGTCTCTTGAGAGTACAGAACGGTGTCAGAGATATGTTGGTGTGCATGTCTGGGAGCCTACTAAATCTGCTGCTTCATGCATGTGTTGGTCTGCTTCGTCAGTACATGTGGACTTCCTGTGTGTGTGCAGAGGTCGGTCAGTCACCTCTAGTCCTTCCCTCCCTCTCCTACATTCTGCCTTTTCTTAGCGTCCCACACTGATGTTGCAGGTCTTGCAGCTGGGGTCCTTCTTGGCATTTACCGTGGACAAACTCATCAGCTGGTGCCCGCTGATCTCGGCCACTGTGCCCAACGCCAGGTCCACAGGCTCCGTGTAGATCACCTCCAGGATGACATCCTGGGCGTGGTGAAACACCAGACTGCCGTCACCCTCTTCTTCCTTCTTGCAGGTGAGGAAACGGTTGTTGGTGAGGTCAAGAGCAGGAAGCCTCTGCTTACAGAAGTCGTCACCTCTGGAGCCCTTTGGCGCTAGGACCAGGATAACATAGTGGTAGGCTGTATACATGCAGTAGAAGTCTCCAAAATACAGGTTGGTGTCGGGGTTGAAGAGCGTGTCAGCCTGAACCTCAAAGCGTTGGCGGCCGTAAGGGGAGTCCTGCGGAGGCTTGCCAGTGTTGAACTCTGTGTTGCAGCTAAAGAAAAGGCCCTCCAGCTTGCCACTGATGGGTGAGCCGTGGCTGCCGCTGTTATCTTTCACTGAAGGCAGCATACGGTTCTCCTGCGCCTCCCTGGAGTTTGGAAAAAAGAGAATGAAATTGGCTGTGAACAAACAACAAATATGTCAGTTTCACTCATCAGTTACAATTTTTCCAACAAGTTTTTGTGCTCCCCCTCAGACAATCGAAGTTTTGATTTTGATTTTAGAAATGCCAGTAGGTGGGTGGCATCCCTTTTAAGTTTAATTAAAATATCATCGTTTGAAATGGCGTGACACATGGGAGAAAGCTGATTAAATGTCTAAGATGCAACCCGAGTCTCATAACACAACTCTCAGTCCACTTAGTCCTACAGAAACCTAGTGAGAGAAAAATAAAACTATCTATCATTGTGACAAATTAGGAAACAAATGCAGCTTTCAGAAAGCAAATTAACAGAGAAACATTCAAAGTGAGGGATTCTGCAGAATATGCATATCTTCCCCACAGAGTAAATCTGAGCTCCAAAGCTACAGTTATGAATTGTAATTATACTGCTATCACTCCAGAGGTTGTCATTATATCCGTAATTGATGCTTTGTTGCGGCATTATGGAATTATTCAGCTCCCACCCCAGGTCATAGAAGCAGAGGCCTCATCAAGTGGTGAAGTCAGTTCCATAACTCCCCACATGATGGTGCAGTTTAACAGAAGCACTTTCAGTACACATAGCAGATGCAACTCAGCAAAAGCGAGGTCGAGATTTATCTGGATGACGTCATGCTGCAAAGCTCCAGCAAAAGAGTGCTTACAAGCTGTGGTTTTAGTACAGAAACTGTGTGCTTTGTTAGGCGTAGAGCATTTGCTCCGAGGGAGAGTATAGATAGAAGATATGAGGAGAAAAGACAACACCATTACACGAGGAAGACTGGAACAGGAAGTTGGAAAAAAACAACATAGAAAATCCCGTTGACACTGTAACTGCACAATGCTTCAGTAACTAGCAGGCTACTCCAGAGACATTTTCTCCCCTGCCTGTCTCACTCTCCTCTAACATCAAAACAGACTTGCACAGCGTTTGCTGCCACAAGCAGGTTTTTTTTTCTTTTCTTTCCTCCACATCCCCTACCAACTGTCTGCTTTTGTCTGGCAGAGTTACACCAAGCTTTGTTCAGAGGATGCAAGCATCTATGACAGTCCAGATTACTATTAGGTAGAGCTGGCTGCTACAGTAGTTTGATGTACTGTATATATGGAACTAATCCACATGCTTTGTGCAGCTGCACCCTTCAGCTGATCCTCCATTTTTCTTTTGGGTACAAGAGAAGAATACAAAATGATGTGGTCATCATGCTTTTTGCACACGGCGCTGCAGTGATGCACAATAATGTAGTACAGATGTACAGATGGATTTTTATTTGAGTGTATTTTTATAACTATTTTTTCATTACCAATAATATACTATCAGCACCACAGAATGATTACCATATTACCATACATATTACCATATTAACACTATATGCAGTGCAGTCACAAGGATGGAATAACATCACAAGGTTCTAAGGTTAGTGAGGGCACCAGATACATGTTCAAGAAAAAAAATTGTTATTGGTAAAATATAAACTTAGTAATAGTTAAACTCACATACCATATATAGCATTTTCTTGTTATTTACGTAAATAGGTAAAATTTCTAATTGCTGTATAGAAGACTGCATTACCCATAATGCTACAATCCAGAAAGGGGTGACAGTGTTGTTAATTTGTGTTCAGGCAAGTTAGCCACTGGGGCAGACGTGCATTATCTCAGCCCAGTTATTTTAGAAAAGGTTCAGAAATGAAATAGTCTAGACTCTGTATTTTTAAAAGAACAGCAACAGGCAATGACAATAGGAAAGAGTGGAGTAATGCAACACAGATGCATATTTAAATATAGCCCAAAACTGCCTACCTTGCGTGGTCAAAGTACTCTTTGTTCTGGTTCCTGTAGAAAACAGAGAAACGCAGCATCCGGCCAGCAATGACCTCTGCCTTTTCCAACAGCTGGTTTAGATGCACTGTGGAATAGTCTGGAAAACAGACACAACACACACTTTATCATCATGTTAATTAATTTGCTGCCATCAGGAGGATCGGAAACCAATGTACAAAAGTCATTTGTAGAAATTACATTTTTTAATTATAAAGAACAGGAGTGACTGTGTGCACCAGCTAAGATGGAAAAGGACAGAATATGAACTGTGTCTGTGTTCTCATCCTTACCGTAACTATATTTTTTAGACAAGGCTTTTACTGTTGCCAGTGAGACATAATGGAATAAATGGCAATTAAAAACAGGAACATTTTACAGGAGTGTAAGATCTTGGCAGCGGCATCTTTTGTAGAGGATCAATGACATCATTAAGCTTCCTCCTTCATTCTCTTACTAGACCTTCATAACACACTCTTCCCCTGCCTGTTAACTTAAGTGCTCCTCATCCATTTCACAACTGCCCCACCTTCTCTCATTTTAGATTGTTTGGGTAATCTAGCAGGATGGCAGGATACCATGAGGTTCAGATGCTATTAGAACAACATCCATCACATTTGGAACATACATTCATGTTCCCCAATAAATATAGACCCTTTAGCTTTTCATTTAGTGCCAACACCAGGTCAAAATTTCTGTTTACCCAATATGTTGACTAAATGAAAAACTAATGACACTCCCATTAGCCTCAGGGGTACTTGTGTTTAGTGCTAATTAGCAAATGTTAGCATGCTAACACACTAAACTAAGATGATGAA